TTATGTATGAATATGTTGTATATTGCCACAGTTAGGGTTCTTTGAAATATTTTGATTACCTGGCCTAATTGTAAATTGGAGAATATGTTATCTCCTCGTTTTAGTTGGCCGGAGGCCATTTCTATTGTGTTATGAAACTTTGTTACATGGTTGAAAACTAATTGGATGGGCTGCTTTTGATGTATGTTGTTACCCGGGGCTGGAGGCTCGGAGGCCCAGTAGATTATGAATGAATGATCTCAGTTGCATGCAACGGACTTTGAGTTGGAATCGAGTTTACATGTTAATTCAAAATTTATGCAAATTTCTTCCTACTATGGTAGTTCATTTAACAGATTTCCTTTTCTACCATAGTAGTGATTTTGTGATGAGTTATAATGTTATGAGGTTAAGGGTCTTTACACATTCAATTTTAACCTATTTGTATCCAAGAGAATGAAAATCTTGTCACTATTTTGAAATTGTGTGAAACTACCCTTGTTAGCCTTGATTTCATGTGAGGATTCTAGAAAACAAGACAGTGTTATGAAATTCAACTATTTAAGCACTAATCATAAGCCCATTCAATTTTAGCCTATTTGAGGTCAATAGAATAAAAGTCTCATAACTATCTTCAAACTTAGTAGAAAGACCCCCATTAGGCTCGATTTAGCATGAGGATTCTAGAAAGCAGGAGGGTGTGGCCAAATTCAACCATTTGGGCACTGATCTAAAACCCATTCTAGCCTATTTAAGGCCAATAGAACAAAAGTCTCATAACCATCTCGGAATATAATGGAAACATCCCCTAGGCTCGATTTTGCATGAAGATTGTATAAAGCAAGACAACATTGCAAAATTCAACTATTTGAGCATTCATCATAAGCCCATTCAATTTTAACCTCTTTAGATCCACTAGAACAAAAGTCTTGTAACTATCTTAGAATTCGGTGAAAACACACATGTTAGGCTCAATTTCGTGTGAGGATTCAAGAAAACAAGAAGGCATTGCGAAAGTAACCATTTGGGTGTAACACCACAACTTCTAACCATATAAGTGACCAAATGATGGTAAATGGGACCACATTTCATGGCATTAAGATTAGAAAATGAAGTTTTCAAAAATTTTCTTTTCTATTTACTATTCACTTGGTAGCCTTAGAATTTTGGCTAAGTTTGAAAATTTGTAACTAATTCCAGAAGAATCAAAATGATGTGGTTTTAGTTTTCATTTGAAGCTCTATCATTTTTTACTTATGAAAAATATCTATTGTTCCATTTACTTTTCCATTCGGGCTCCATTTCATCTCTAAAATGTATTGTTCATATAGGCAATTTCTATTTCCAGATTTCTTACCATAACTTTAAAATTCATAACTTTTAACACTCAACCCTAAATTGGGTGATTTACCACCCTATTTAAAGTTTGAAACATGTAATTTAAAAATACCAAGTATCACAATCAGGTTCATTCATTAGTTCAGAAAACTTGCAGACATTGAATCATGACTTTTCAAGCTTCTATAATCTCTTATTTAGCATAATTTTGGAAAATATAACCCTTAGCTATGCAAATTCAACTAAACATCATTCATGCTAGTATATACTCATACATTAGCTAAGTCTACGCAAAGACAAGGCTCTTGTCTCATACATTCATCCATCATAATTTACAACATTCACATCATTTAATTCAAAAGTTCACAAGACATAACATTCATGCAAATCTTCATTGCTTCTCCAAGTTCTTCCCTTTGCTTATTGAAGGTCACCCTATTTGGTGTCATTTTGAACATGATAGGAATAAGACTTCATGAAAATTTCAATAGCAAAAATAATAACAGTAATGTCAACAATGTAAAGTTATCACATAGTATACATTAACTGTTATGCCATGGAAAGGGAACACATGTTCATACCATAAAGTAGACTCATTTATGCATATTGCCAAGGCATCAAATGCAAAGAGTTTAGCAAATGTCATTATCATCAATAGCTCAACCATATCATGGCATAGAACACATAACAAACAACCAATACAAGTAACATTGAAGTTAGATGTTCTTGCTACCGTTTACAAAGTCTTGATTCTTGCTTCTCTTCCCTTGAATTTGAAGTCGTCATTGCCAATGCTCAACCGATCATGTAATAGGGACATTCCAAATATCAACTCAACAAATTCAATAACTTAAACCCTTAACCTTGATATTTGATTTTTAGGGTTTTAGTATCATCTTTATTAACATAATTCCCACATACTTTTCTTAGATAATTTTGCGTGTAAAATCCATATTTGAACTTGAAATTATTAAAATCCAATTGCTTCCTATCCATCTTGACTTGGCTGAATGCATAAAGTTTAGAGTTCAAATTTTTCATTTTCAATTATAACGCTCCCAAGCACTTTTTCTCAACATTACCTTATACAATTTCACCTTCTAAACTCATGGGAAGCATCAAATTAATATGAATCAAACTCTAAGCCCAAGTACTCATATTGACTTAACCCTATGCTCTAGGAAACCAACAAAGAAATCTTTCATAGATCATGCATTAACACAAGATTCAAGCCTTTTCCTATCACCTAACCATTCAAATCATGATCAAGCTTTCTCATATCAATTTGAGCAGCATGGAGACGTAGGTTTTCTAGCCTCTAATCCCTAACAAAAACCATATTCAAGCTTACTAATACATAGGGCAACATAAACTACAATAAAGTCCATAATCTTACCTTGTTTGGAAGCTTGAAATTGCCTAAGACCTCTTGTTCTTCCTCTTCTTCTTGCCTAGGTCAAAAATTTCATCTTCTTCTCCTCTCGATTTGGCCAAAAATCTTGGTACAATTGGAGGAGTAATTTTTCAAAAAATAAACTCCAGGTTGCTCCTCCATCAATTTTGCAATGTTGCACCATATTAAATAATTTTTCGGGTCCTAACCTACCTAATAACACTAACATATGTTATATTATCCTTATCTTGATGTTTTGCTCCCTCTTTTATCATAAATAACTTCATGTGATGTTATGATGACAATAATTGTTTAGTTATAAAGTGCCTCTAAGGTTTTTGTTCCTTAACGGAAAATCAAATACTTTATTCCACTGTAACTTTGACCAAATGCTTCTTGATATTTCCTGGTCTGAAAATTCACCCCTCTACTTCATTAATTTCCTTTTATTATGGGGAAGTTATCTATTTCTTCTCAGACCAAAACTCAACCTGTAGATACCTCTTTTCAAAATTTTGAATAATGCCCCTTTCAATAAAAATTTCACTTTAAATATTTTTAAAGCCAATTTCTTCACTTCCAAGAGTCGGGAATAATTTTATAATTTTCTATAATCTCCAAACTATTGTCTCTCATTTCTATCTAATTATTTAAGGCCTCCATATAATTAAAATAATTGACTTTGACAATTTTTTTCTAATTAGCCAAAATTCCCATAAACAGCAGAATTTCTAAAAATCCCTTAAATTCATTCTGGGAGTATTTCTATCATTTTTAACCTCAAATTGGCCTTTATACCTCATTTCCTATTTTTAAAATCTTTTTTGAGATTTCAAGCACATTTTTCGTCATTACCTTTTTCGGCTTGAAACTTTTTAAAATTACAGTTTAGTCCCTACTAGAGTTTAACCTTAAAGATCATCTCATTAAGGCCTCTAAAACCACTTCTGGCTTATAATCACTCAATTTCTCATATTCAGCCCCCGAGACTCTATCTTCCCCATCCCTTGGTCCCAGAAAAATTTTACTTTGCAATTTGGTTTCTAAAGGCCATCCTAACTTCCTATACCGTTTCTAGGACTCTAGGATTCTACGAAAAGGGATATGATAACCTACTCATTTGATACTATTTCTTGCACTTCTAGACCCAAAATTTGGAATGTTACTTGACAAGTTCTTATTCAATCAGGGATGATTATAAGTTTCTTTCATAATCTGCCATTTATTCTTGTAATTCAATACTCTTTTTGACACCTATTATGGTTTTTTTCTTTACTGTTTAAATACTTGCTGTGTTTGTGAAAATTACTGCATCAAGCAATGCCAACTGCAAATGTTTTTACGGCACATCCTCTCAATTCTTCTGCCGTTGTCCCTTTTGGTTGTGATGATGATAAAACTTCTGAGCATATATTTATCTCACGTCTTCATGTTAAGACAAAATGGTTGTTTTTCAGTCAAGTTTTAAGGGTGCTCTTTTTCTTGCCGTTTGAATTGGTTGAAATCTACACTTTATGCATTTAACCTAGATGGCCTTCAGAACAATATGCAAGGAATAATTATCCTTAATATCATCTAGCATAAGAGAAACACTGTTACTCATAACAATATCATTCAGTTGCCACACCACGTCATTAGAGTAGCCCTTGACATTTTAACATTTTCATCTATGGCTTTCTCTAGTGAGAAAACAAAAGACACTACCACTTCCAAACCAAGTACTCCGCAAATGATTACCTCTTTGAAAAAATATTGTTCCATATTGATTCAGAAGAGCAAAGTTCACCAAAACCAAAGAAAAAGGTGCAATGTCATATTAGCATTTCTAATTCGGGACAACCACCACATCCTGGCATTTCATGTACACTTGTTACACACCCTTTTATTGAATTATTTGCAAAAGACGCGTTCATGACACTACACAGAACTCCTTGAAATCATTTGCATCAACCATAGGCACTTTAACCTGACATCTTACCATCATCACCAATCAGACATTTGGCAAGATATAAGAATGATGTTATCTAGCTTTATAAGATTTCCTCTTCTTTAGCCCGACCCTCCCTTCTCCATTCCATTACTAATAATTATGTAGGGGACTGTAAGTTTCTCCCGTTTTACTATCATTTTCCACTTTCATCCCCCCCCCCAAAAAAAAAAAAAAAAAAAGTAAAACTAGGAAATAGGTAAAATTTGATAAAACTAGAACCACACAAACATATCACTCAGCAAATGGAGAAATTAGCATGAAGAATCGCCATACTAAACTATTAAAGATAAGCTGCGGACAAAACGACAATAAACAACTGCATAAAAAGCCAAAATTTCGACGAATGAGTTACAGGTGTGAATAAAATTGATTTCCAAGCAAGACAGCAAATATCCCCCTCTGGAAGATAATGAAATTTTAGCTACATTCATAAACAAAGAAAATTTTGAGGATACAGAAAATGGAACATTGTTCCGCAGATTTATGTGGGTACAACCACCCTCGCATTGGGTGCCAACTGTGACATAAAAAGCCAAAAGGCCACGATTAACAAGATAAACTGTATCCAAAAGCAAAAAGTCACCTTATATACTCGTTTTTGCATCATAATAGTCTCCTCGACCTCTAAGCTTCCATCATGAAGATTTTCCAACTCTTCTGATTGGTTCTTCAGCACTGAAGCCTTACTCTGTGCCTCACTAAGCTTGGGCAGAACCTGGGTTCGCTTCCCAGACAGCACTTCTTGTTCCTCCAATTGTTTAAGGCGAAAACCTGTTTCAACCTTCAAATCATGCATCATCTTTGTGATCAACAGGCATTCAACCTCAGATTCAATCTTTTGCCTAAAAATGTCATCAAGATCAAAAACCGCATCCCCAAATTCTTCCGATAAATGCACAAGGGTACTAGATTCTACACTAGGAAACCTGTTATTTCTCAGGGATGTTTCAAGTTCAGCTATCCTGGAATTCTTGACAGCAAGTGTTCTCTGTGTTTCCTCCAACTTGAGTTCTAAATTATTTACATTTTTGGTCAGGCTCATCACCTGACATTCGAAGAAACTTGAAGCGGTTTGTTTAGTTCCTTCTTCTTCAGACTGATCAGATAAGGATGACTCGTGAAATTTGGGATCAACAGCGCCAATATCAGCAGCTGCAGTGGCACCCTTAATTGAGTCATCATCTGGCGAGACATGTTCATGCCCAATCTCCCTAAACTTCTGGACTTCTGCAAGAATGCACAGATTGGTTACAGAACAATTTTTAAAGAAAAAGCTAACTTCAGAATAAAATATCAGAAAATTTTTCACCCTTGTTCTTCACAAATATGCAGAGCAATCGGTTTGAGAAACAAGCAGCCAGCAAATTCAAAACAGTTTTATAAAGAAGCTCACCATATAAGCCGTTTTCTTTTGGGTTTCGCTGATATATATATTGAAAATGAAATCATAAACCCTGAAACTATTTTCAACTTCACTGAAAAGTGGTTTATTTCCAAGCTCACCATATAAGTCATTTTCTTCAGTTCATCCAAACAGGGTGGTGCTGCAAAAATAGTTAAACCAGTTCTTAAATAAATTCCTAAGCAGGCTAGGAGCTTGTTTGTTACAAATTAATGGTGATTCCATTTTTTCCTTCATTCCATAAGAACAAGTCTTCCCCAAGATTTCTACAAAAAAGGACAGATTGAGTCTCAATTCTAGAAATATAATATCCTTTCCTTGTGGTGTCTGTTTATCCTTAGCTATATCTCCTTCCCCAAAAAAACATAGAACAACCATTCTTTTCTGAGGGTTAAACATGGCAATGCCTTGCAACTAAAAATGAATAAAATTTGGTTTCATTCCTAATTATCCTTAGTCAAGCTACAATTCTAGATACCTAGTGTAACAAGGGAACGGAAAGAGGGGAACCAAACATAGATCCAGAAAAGGTCCTTTCCATTTTAATGAAAAGGAAAGCACGCCTGAAATCCAGGCAGACGGGAGGTAAGAACCTCTACAGTAATGGAAGTCCTGTGTCTTAGCCAATGTATGACTAATGGTCTTGCATCAAATTCCCAACCCCATACCCCTTCTCTGTTTTCCCCCATTCTGGGCTTTACCACAGCGATCCACAAAGAATGATTTTTGCGGCTTGACTATATTTGGAGTAAGATAAACTCGAAATATATCCTTTACATGATCACTCAAGGCTCATTAAATAATGACACAACCATGAAAAGAAAAATCTTGAAAAGCATATAACAAGTGACGGGGACAAAAATATAAATTATAATATCAAGGCAAACAATAACATAGCAAAAAGATGTAAACAGAAAAAATTGCTCATGGACCTAATAAAGCTTTACCGTGGCACCCAATCAAATGAATATAAAGTCTTGAAAGAAAAAACACACAAGAGATGAGAATAGTTAGGGGCCAAAACATACATATCAGATGAAAAAATCTTGTCATTATGAACAGAGAGCAGTCTGCTATATAATTATAATTATAAATTAGAAAATACTTAAATAGGATATAAATAGGATAAATAGAATTTAAATGGTATTAGTAGAGATTTAGATAGGATTTTATTTTATTTTATTAGTAGGATTTGGATAGATTAGGATATTTTGATAATAATAGGATATTTATTTAGATTTATATCTAGGAAATATGGCAAATAAAAACCCCCCAATATGTGAAATTGCGATTTGGGATCCTCAATTTGGAAAATGACAAATAAAGACTCAATCCCATATTACAAATATAAAATCTTGGTGAAATGCCTCTTGGCCAAGTGACAGTTGACTATGGAAAATGACAAGTTCATTTTAGCAAATGACAATTTTAGCAGACCAAATCACAACTTAACTGAGGGCATGCCAAATGACAAGTTGACTGTAAAAAAATAACAAGTTCACTCTAGCGAATGATGACTTTAGTAGACCAAATCACAATTTGACTGGGAGCATTTCAAACATTTCACCAAAATTTCATATTTGCAATATGATACCGGATCTTTATTTGTCATTTTCCAAATTAAGGGTCCTAAATCACAATTTCATATATTAAGGGGTCTTTATTTGCTATTTTCCCTCATATCTATTAGGGCTTTTGCTTATAAATAAGTATCCACTATCCTTTGTAACTCAATTTTGTAATGTGATATGGGTACAAGTTATTCAATTCTTTTGGTTTTCTGTTCTTCTCTAATTCTCCTCTGATTATCTTACTCTTTTCCTTTCTCTTTTTTCTTTCTCTCTCCTATTTCTTTACTTTTCATAATAGTGGTATTAGAGCCTTACACTCCTCGGCCACCATCATTGAAAATATATGGATTCTCTCACATCTACCATACCAAAAATGAATCCCATAGCGGAACAAATCCAAAACATGGTTCGACAGCTTGAAGAAATAAGTAGGTGTATGGCGTGAAACTCTACCAATATTAAAGCAAGAGTTAGTAGACTTGCGAAAAGATTAGAAAGCTAAAAAGACAAGAAAAGCCTTAGAATATCAAGAAGAAAGCTTGACAGCTCAAGAAGGTATGGAAGTTCAAGAAGCAAATATGTCATATCAAGAAGAGTCCATGGAACCAAAAGAGTCATTAGAATTCAATGAGCAAACAACGACCGCCAACCAAATGTTTGACGAAGTGCAAGAACCTCTTGAGGATAATGATAACATAAAGAAAAATCTTCCGTATGGGTACAGAAGTGAAGAAGAAAGTTCTGATGATTGAGCAAAAAGACTTGGCAGTTCAAGATACGATGAAAACACCCTTCACCATGCCAATGACAACTCTGATAGGCTTAACAAAGGAGAAGTCAAAGACAAAACTCCAAACAAGAATGTGTTTTGCATTTATGTGCCTTGCCTTTCAGAAAAGGATTTAAAACTCGTTGCTACTATCGATCAATTTTAATTGGGTTTCTCCTACAAGATGCTTGGTTCAGATTTGGTTCAAACGCAAATTAATTACGATGTTCCTTGGCGCTAATTTGGGACTAGTTTTTGTGTACTTGACCTTTGAGGGCAAAGGTCTTTTGGGGAAGAGATATTGTTACATAATTATAACTATAATTATAAATGAGAACATATTTTGGATAAATAGGATTTAAATGATATTAGTATAGATAGGATTTAATTATATTAGTAGAATTTGAATAGATTAGGATATTTTGATAATATTAGGATACCTATTTAGATTTATATCTATTAAGGCTTTTGCTTATAAATAAGTACTCGCTGTCTTTTGTAACTCAGTTTTACAATGTGATATGATTAGAAGTTATTCAGTTCTTTTGGTCTTCTATTCTTCTCTAATTCCCCTCGGATTCTCTTATTCTTTTCCCTTCTCTCTCCTATTTCTTTACTTTACATAACAAAATTCAAGGTTTAAAACAAGTTATCCAATGAGATTTTGTTGATTTCTTATACTGAATTTGGATTAAAGCCATCGAGATAACATATGCATATGTATATTAAAGCCATCGAGATAACATATGCATATGTTTAGAATTATTTATTCGTATTGTCTAAAAGTTTACTGGATCATCACCAACCAATACCAACAGCTCCAAAATAACTTCATCGTATCCTCAAATCATTCCTCAAGTATCAAAGTTTAAATACCTAAACTCTATTATACATGAGGATGGAGAAATTGATGGAGACGCTTCTCATAAAATACAAGCTAACTGGTTAAAGTGGAAGAAAGCCACCAGAGTTATTTGTGATGAGAAAGTACCTGGGAAGCTTAAGGAAAAATTTTATCAGACTGCTATAAGACCAGTTATATTATATAGTAGTGAAAATTGGGTGATAAAAGGAAAACAAGAGCACAAAGTTGGGATAGCAGAAATGAAGATGTTGAGATAGATATATGGTCATACAAGAAAAGATAAGATTCAAAATGAAAATATCAGAACATGAGTCGATGTGGCACCTATCCAAGAGAAAATAGTTGAAAATCGCTTAAGATGGTTTGGACATGTGTAGAGATGGCCATTAGATGCCCCAGTAAGGAGGGTAAATTAGACAATATGGAGTCCCATAAAAAAAAAATAGAGGAAGATTGAGAAGAACGCTCAATGAGGTCATTGAAAGAAACCTCCTGGTCAACATATTTAAGGACTGGGTTATTGACAGAGCACAATGGTATAGTGCGATTCATGTAACCGACCCCACCTAGTAGGATAAAGCTTGTTGTTGTTGTTGTTATTGTCGTTGTATCCTTAACATGCAAACAACTTGCCGTCTAGAAAATGCAAATAATGGCAAACACGTGGACTACAGTGTCAAACCATTTATCGATTAAACCAGAGATGGTAGATCTGAGAATACTTTTCCTTGATGGCTGCTTCTCCATATATGCTATTATCATACACCCAGCAGAATGGTTCATCGACAACAGTCTCTAATTTGATATGACTGGATTAATAAAAGATTTCCCATAATGACCAGAATAGACCAGCAGTTTTTACAGACAAAAAATCAGAAATCAGTGAATTAAATACCTCCTAATCAAATATTAAAAGCTCACATTATCAATACTTTGCTCTCAATATTTGAAAGAATGGGGGAACTCCAGGTAAGAAAATGTCATTTTCCTATGATGAGCAAGACAGGTGATTGTCAAACGGTAAAAATATCAGAACCATGACCTTATTAATTGTATAATCTACTGGCTGTAAACATAGTGCCTCCGTCAAAATGCTCCCCATCAACACCCGTTCCCCCAGCATAAAATCCTTCAAAAACACCACATTTCTATCAAGACGCTTCACATATAAACAGCAAATTCATTTCAATAATTATTTACACTTTTTGATTCAAAATGCTGATTGCCATTGATTATGAGGACTAGTGTGGGAAACCTAAGCCCCACATTGAACAATATGGGATACTCTTTAAGCAGGTTTATTCCCGCATCTTAATAGCTAGCTAGTAAAAGACTGGATTTATTATCTCATGTTCGCCTTTTGTAAAAAAATACCAATGCCTTTGATGGAGGATTATTCATCCCATTTATTAAAGTTGGTGGTCCCTAGGCAGTGGTTTTGGAAAGGGCTAACTATGGAAAGTCTTGACTAGTGAAAGATTCTGACCGGCCAGACAATAAGGAAAGTGTCACTTGAACGAAGTATCATAGAGTGTAGACCCCAAGAGTCCAAGAGATTATATAGCCATACCAGATTCTTCCCCTTCCTCCTTAACCACTATAATCATCTAATATTTATGAAAAATAACAATATGTTTACAATCATTTGTAATCATTGCTTTGGTTTAAGCCACTTATATGACATCACAATTGCTATTGCGTCCTTAATCATCATTACAACATATTATGTACCAGTTCGATTTTGGAATAAAACATTCCATAAACTCATGCGCACCTACTGTGAATCCAAGTTAGTAATTGTAACTGTGAAACAATTTTGGTGAACCACAATTTGTTTTGTACAATATAACTTGCAGAAAACAGTTCAAGAATTTTGAAAATATAGGAAACCCTTGAAGAATAACAGCTTAACCGGTTAAGCAGCAAGAATTTATACTACAAATACCTATCTACAGAAAATCGACAGGCTGAAGCATCAGAGAAATGGGGAGGAACAAACCTTCTGCAAGTGCCTGCTGTACAGACTGGAGACTACGAATAGATTCAGCTAAAGGATCTTCAACTGTCGAAGACAGTTTATTGTCACTTTTTTCTTCCTTCAAATCCCAAGAAAATTTTGAGGCTAAATTCCCCTGGAAAAGGTCTTCGTCTTCTACCACGTTTTCTTTGCAATATCCAGCTTGAACTTCGTCAAGAAAATGTTCACCAGCGTGAGCATCACCACTGTTACCTTCGTAATAAAGATTTGGCCCTCCACTATGTTTTCCGTTACTAGTCACTGTAAAGGCACCTCGATTAAAGTTGGAACTTCTTGAATCAGAATCCATACTGGAATGAGAACTTTTCTTCCTCGCTTTTACTCTTTCGCCTCTAAGTTTTTTACTGCTCTCAACCTGTCCCTTTCCATGTGGAACCTTTTGAGTTGAATTCGAAAAATCATTAAAATTGGTGTTCCTACTCTGGCTATTTTCCTTCGCATACCCCAATAGGTCATACCTCGAGTGGGGCGCACTACCTGCTGTTGATGATTTGCTACTCCGATCTTCACTGTTTTCAGAATCCGTCCCAGCTGCAAAAGCAGATCCAACTGCATATCTGGAATCTGAACTAGAACCACGGACTGTAAAGCCATCAGTAAACCCAACATTTTTTAACGCATTTGACGATCCAATAGAGCCCTCGCTATTCTGTTGAATATCATGCGGGAAAGGCTGGGCTTTAGTTGAATTGGCAGCACCAGACAAACCTCGTTTCAAGAATTTGCTAGAATCTAGATGTGTACTTTGATCCTTAACAACATCTCTCTTAATTCTCCTCCATTTCTTCAATCCATAGCCTTTAGTAGTCGAGGTGAAGTCCCAGGAGGATTTGTTTCGCTCAGACGCTGAGGCCCATCACTATCTAATCCAGCAAGTTTTCCTTTTTGATCTGGTGAATCTCCATTAGGACAAGAGAGATTGCTCTCAGTCTCATTTTCACCGTCATGAGGCGATTCGTTCTGCCTGACTTCATTATCCTCCACAGAGACTGAGCATTCACTTTCCAAATCCATAGCAATAGTCAATGCCCTCCGTCAAAATTGTTAGATCAATCGAGAGAATTCAAGTGGATAAGCAAATCCAGATGAATAATCTGAGAATTCATGAAATGAATTATAGTTTCAGTAAGCGATGCATCAATTCTGAATACATATATTAACTAGCTATGAAAATATGCACAAGATGAGATAGAAATTAAGCGGGAATCAGTGACGGAAAGGGTAAAGAATCTATGGTACCAGCGGCAATCAATTCTGAATACATATATTACCATTTGCTGAATGACCTTCCTAATAAATGGATGATGCACTCGAATCGAAGGAAATAGAAACCCTAAACTCTCCATCGGTTTCGACGTAGAATAGCATTGGGCATCTTTAACCTCTAAATGCTTCGTATTCTGACCCAAAAAAGACCTTGCATGATCTTTCTCTTCGCACAAGATTACCTCGATTTACAAAAAAAAAAAAAAAAAAACATCTTTTAAAAGTATTTTTTACAAATACCAAACACCCCTTTATTAAAATCGCCATTTTATGTTTATTCACCTTAAAATTGAAATCTTATTAAAATATACAAGGATATGTAGTAATAATAACAATAATAATAATCTCATGTCCCTTTTTAAATTCAAACAATAAATATATAAAAATAGAAAAAAATTTTAAAATACCCTTATTATGGGAGAACGTATAAGAAAGAGAATAAAAATTATTATAATAAAAATAATTATAAAAAAGAGAAAATGTGGGATGAAAAGAGATTATATTAAAATATAATATTCAAAACATTTGTTATCTAAAAAATGATATTTTGGAAAAAAAAATTAACTATTAAAATAAGTTTTTAATAGAGGCAAAATAGAAAACTTGTTATAAAATTTTAAGACAACTTGCAAATATTACTTATATTTAATAACAATAAAGAGATGGTAGTTGTTGTTTATAAAAAGAGATGGAAAGAATAATAAATACTCATAAATACTTATTTAGAGAATTAATTGTCCATGGTTCTTGAATGCAGAATTAGCCTTTTATGCAGTACTGGGAATATGTAGGGCCGTAGGCTCAAACAAGCCAGCCCTCCAGGGCTAAATTTTCAGAAATGTCCCATTCTGCGATACCCAACTTTTAAGCTAATAGACTGAAGGCTAGCCCACAGGCTTTTGATCCGTTTAAGGAAAAATACAATTTTTTTATATTTCCTACATGTTTTATCAAAAAAAAAATGAAAACAAAGCAATGAAATTACTAATAAAAGGCATGAATATGAATAAATTTAAATCACAAATACAAAACATCATTATATCTAAACGTCTATCAACATCCAAAAAATCTAAAATATCCATTAACAAGACAACAACATCTAAAAGTTTCATTAATAGTATAAATGCGTAATAGACAAACACTATCATTAATTTTTTGAAACTTCATCATTACTATCATCAATTGCTCTTTACATGAGTATGCTCTTCTTTAGTGGCAAAAAATATTAAATTTTTCTTCTTCATCATATCTAAACATCCATCAATATCCAAAAACATCTAAAATATTCATTAACAAGACAATAACACCCAAAAGTTTTATTAATAGTACAAATGTGTAATAGACAAACACTATTATTAATTTTTTGAAACTTCATCATTACTATCATCAATTGCTCTTTTCATGAGTATGCTCTTCTTTAGTGGCAAAAAATATTAAATTTTTCTTCTTTATAAAAATTTTACTTTTAAATTTTGCAGTCTAACTATTACTTTACTTTGATATGCATTATTGTTAAAACTCATAAATTTTTAATTCAAATTATAAGTATAAAAATACTCTTTTATCAAATATATATAGTTTAAAAATAGGAGAAATGATAACAAAAGAAGCTGAAAATTATGTATTCCTAAATCAGGCACCTAAGAAAATGAAATTACAAAAAAGGAAGTGGCTCTTATGGGGCATTTTGAAATATGTAGAAATGACCCAAATGCCCTTTAGTAAAATAGAAGACTACCTTAATGGTAGAGAGAAGAAAGGTGGCAAGAGCTTAGGAGAAAAAACAAAGGAGCAACGTAAACTTTGGAAGTGAGTGGTGCAAATGTTGGAAGCAAGTGCAGTGAGTATTTCAAACTCCACACTCTTCTTCTTTCAATCTCCTTAGCTGGATGCTTTAGGTTTTTCTTTTAAATGGGTGTGCATTTGGTTGAGTAGCTAGGTTTTAGGGTAACAAGGGTAACGAAGCAAGGAGAGATTGATGTTAGGTTTAGGCAGAGGGAATGACATTGATGAGAGGGTGAATATGGGTTTAAGCCAAAACATTAAGGGTTTAATGTTTGTTGGTGTGAGAGATGAGTTAGAGTAATTAGTGTTAGTGATAGGATAATGTTAAAGGGGAAGTAGAAGAAATAGAGTGGGTTCATTGGATAATATGAAGTTTTAGTGTGCACTACAAATAGTGTATCCTTGTTAACTAGTAGTTGTAATGTGTCAAACCCTAATCTGCTCACGTAACTTGATCAAATAAATTTGGTGGTTAACTAATATAAATAAATTAATAGTGCAAGTTACCATGCAAAATGATGTTTGATGTTGAGCCATCTTCTTAGAAGGTATTGTTCTGTTATTTTCACGTGAGAGGAAAATTTATGACAAATGATAAAGGCGAAGTGAGATATAATGGAGGTTGTATGAGGGTAAGAAGCATTAAGGATGGGTCAATACTTGAATAGTTGAGGTTAATCATAAGTGAGTAGATTAGTAGAGATGGAAGTAGTTGTCAGATTAAGTACACTATGTCCTTTGATGAAAAGACACAAATTGACCTGTATGACAATGCTGAGATATATAACTTATTTCAATATAATGGGAACAATGCTCATATGTATGTGGAAGGAAAAGAGAAAGAGAGGGAACCACTATCACAGAACAATGTAGAAATATAAGTTTTAAAGTTTTTTCGAATTCAGAGTTGTTATTTGTCAATTTGATCTTGTTGTTTGTATGAATCAATGTTGTCATTTTGGATGTAGGAGTGAGAGATTCATGGGTATGTCATAAGAAAAGGATGTGGATGCATCTCCTATTAGTTTTTGTTATGATTTTGACTCTCTAGCTGAAGAATTTTGTGGTGAATACAAAAATGATAGGGAGAGTAATGTACCTCATGTGGACACATGCATAAAAAACAACGGTATTAATGGTGGAGGTATATTGAGTAATTAGATTAGCTATGTGAAATGGCGTGAGCCTTTCACTAGGGTGGGTTAGCAATTTCCACATGCAAATGCTTTTAGGGTTGCTTTGTACATGTTTACAATTGCACACAGGTTTGTCCATAAATATATGAGAAATAGCAACGAGTTGATGTCGGTGAAATGCAAAGTAGAAGGTTGTCTATAAAAGTTATGTGCTAATTCAATTGGGAAGAGGAGTCAATTGCTACATGTAACAACATTCATAAATGAATATATTCATTCTGCTCAAGATAATTTAGAAGTGATTTAGGAAGAAGAGCTAGTTTGAACTCATCTGTAATAACTAATGAGGTAAGGGATCATGTAGACAAGCATCCAACTAAAATAAGGAAGAAGTTGAAAAGAGAGTATGGAGTCAATCTAATGTATAAACAGACCTATAGAGCAAAGGAGAAGGCTATGAAAGACATATATGAAAGACCAAAATAGTCATATATGTTGATTCCATGGATATGCCAAAGGTTAAAGGAGACTAGTGATAAAATAATGGCAGAATGGACTACTGTTGGCAATAAGTTTGAGCATGTTTTTATCACATATGGGTGTTGCATAGAAGGCTTTTTAAGAGGTGTGAGGCATATTCTATATATAGATGGAACTCAATTAAGCAGATCATATAAGGGTACAATACTGTTAGCTTCATGGTATGTTGAGATAACGAGTTGCTGCCTTTTGTAATTTCAATTGTTAATGGAGAGACATTAGATAACTATATATGATTTCTCTGCATGGTTAAACAAATTCCTAGGGCTTTGAAGTGACTGTCATAATGCTATCATTGGAGGTGTGGCAACAATATTTAGGGGTCTAAGGCAAGCCTTTTGTTATAGTCACATTAAGGAGAATTTTACTATTGAAGTGATGAAATTAAATAGAGGGCAAATAAGGACAAATAGAAGTTCAAAAGAGTTTGTACTCCTTTTATTGGATAAAATTGCATATGCAAAGACAGATAAAAAATTTGATAAAGCAATGGATGATATAGGAGATTTTTCTCCAAAGTTATTTGATTAGCTTATCAATCACAAGGATATAGAAAGGTGGGCCAAGAGCAAGTTTCCATATGAAAAATGGGACAACATAACAAATAATATTGCGGAGTTCTTCAATGCATAGATGGTTAATGAGAGAAAGCACGATCTATATCAATTGATCCATGAGCACTGAGAGAAAGTTGTAAGAAAGATGCACGTCTCCTATATGGCTATGACAAAATGAAAGAATTGTGTAAGGCTAAATATAAAGAGTAAAGTGATGGATATGGTAACTAGAGGTGAGAATATGTTTGCAGAAAATTATGGTGAGGAAAGAGTAAGGGTGACAACAGCACGTGGAGACCATCGGGTTTATCTTTGCATACACCAACGCAGCTACAGGTCTTGACAAATGATGAGCATCCCCTGTGCCCATGCTTTTATAGCCAGCAAAATTGTTCACGGTGATATTTATGATTATGTTGATGACGGCTATAAAATCTCATCACAAAAGAAGATTTATGCTCGCTATATGATTCCTATGATGACTATAAACATGTCTCACCTAAATGATTATTATAGGCTGAAAAATATCAGTGAGCAAATATTCTTGCTACCTCTTATAGTAAGTTGACATCTAGCAAGGCAAAAAAACCAATGGCTTAAAAACCAGACCGAACTGAACAGTCAAACTGGTCAGAATGATGACTAGAGCTATGCAGACTCGTTTTGTGTGGTTCGACCGTTTGGCTAGTTGGACTGGGTTGGGCTGCTTCAAGCCAACCATTGGATCGTGAACCGGAGTTTAACCAGAAACCGGAGCGGCTTTTAAATAACCAACCAGTCCAAGCATATAACGTAGAAAAACTTTCTTTTTTAAAAAAACATATTTGAATCTGATCCATAAAATAACCCAAATCACCCAAAAAACCCAACCCAAATCTCCACATTTTGCCCTCGACAAAAACCCCTTCCTCTAATTTCAAACAGAGTTGCCGAACCATTTGGAGAGTGGAGACTGAAATCTCCAACTTTGAGCAAAGCAGTACATCGTTTACCTTCCTTGCTTATTCATGTAGAACGCCTCTCCATTCTTAGGCTTCAACCTTCAAATTTCAAGTGTCCTGTTGCGATTTTTCCTGCTTTTAAGGTACTACTCTCCCCAGCGACAAAGTGCCCTTAT